ACAAAGAGTGAAATTCATGATGGGATAATCCCAAATGAAATTTGATTGATTTTGTATTGAGTTGACTTTTATAGGAGTGACTCAAATGTATATTTTAATTGATCACCACTTAGGTTTTTCCATTGTTGAGTGTTGAGACCTGAAACTCATATGCTTCATATGACCTTCAACAATTGTACAATTACATTGAAAGATATTACTATTTTGTTTGGGTTGAAGGTTAGTGGGGAATGCAAGCCTATGTTAGCAACCACTTAATACATTCCATGTCTATTGCATTCACCATATTACTAGTAACTTCAACCATCGTTTAAAAAATGTTAAGCTGAAGGAAGAGTTAATTAACATATTCATATCCTTTATTATTATTGAATTACATGTAGTTTTAACACAAATAGTAGTTAAGTTGCTTTAACATAGGTACTTTGTTGTGAATTTCACGCATGACACACTACTTGCAAACAACACTTTCAAAAGAGACTAGACAAGTTTCATGAAATAAGTTTAAAAGAACATTGATAGATTGATGACATTTCACTTAAGAAATAGAACATTGCAAACAATGATCATGATTGCATATACGGTGATATGAAAAAAAATTTGTCAAAGACTGTAAATAAGATTTTAAAAAGGACTTGAAATTGGCCTATAACTAGTCTAGCTAAATGGACATTTTCTAAATTGATTGAGTACTTTCATAAAAAAAACGGGGTGAAGTGGTGGCAACGTCTGAACGAGGTGAACAATATACACTATTGTAAATTAATGAAAGTTATGCAAAAAAATCAAGACGACACAACCTCTCATGTTGTACGCAGATTTGATTTTGAAGTCACAAAGTTTGAGGTTGAAGAAACATTCAATCTAGTAACTTAACATGGTGTACGAACCTAGATAGTAATGCTTAATGACCAAACGTGCAAATGCAATACTTTCTAAACATATAAATATCCTTGTTTGCATGCCATAGTTACTTGTGCTTATGTACGTGTCAATTTGTACAATTATGTTGATCTAATTTATTCAAACCAATACATAGTACAGACGTATTTAGGAAAGTGGTTTCCAATTGATAATGATACCAACATATGACCTAGTCATAGGTCTTGTATTGTTCCTGATCAGTCTAAGTTGCATGCAAAGAAATGTCCAAAGTCCACTTGTATACGCAATGAAATGAATTTGACAAAGTCACAACATAGACAACATTGTGGACATTATAATATTACAAAAATAAGTCTATTTTTGCCTACCTCTTAACATTATTCTTTGTAATGTTCAAGAAGTAACGACCACAAGCACGTGTAGGGGAAAACATAACAATCTGTCACAGTAAAAAAAATAACATAAATATTTACATAACATACATTATCCATTAATACAATAAAAAATATCTCTTAAAGAACTAATGAGTGTTGTGCAGCTTTACGTTGCACACTAGCACCTATCATACTAATTGGGTCTTGAAATTAAAGTTTCAAATATTAAATACTAGCATTTAACATTACTCTCTATAACAAATGGACAATCATACTAATTCATAGAGACATTTAATTAGAGTGACACTATCTTCCACATAACAGTATAATGTCCAAATCCATCTAGAGTAACAGAATTAACAAAAACAACAATAGTAGATATTTTCTCGAAATTATGGTCAATGCAATTCAAAGGGGTGGCTTCCAATGATTTTATATTCAACAAAACTTAATTAGTATTAATTACTTGATATGAATTAAAAAGATAAAATCTTTTTAGTTACGCATGCAACATAAACTTCATCTAATCTTCAAAGAGAAACTAATCTCATGATTTAATATAATGAACAACATAACACCACGAGTTCGTATTGAATATCATGTTTATTACTCGGTCAATATTTGCCATATAATGTCGGGTCGACGAAGGTTATTCAGAGCGTTGATTTCTCATTATAGTTTGGACTGCATCAACTGGTCTAGGAATTAGAAGGGCAAAGCTAAAGCCAGTGCTACAACCTCGAATGAATGACTGTTGTTGGTTAAATGATTGTGATTCGTTACACAGTGGTTGATGTTTGATATTGTCATCCCCAAGCTTTGAAGTTGGGGAGGGGGTGACAATGGAGATTGTACAAATTATTCTTCATCTTTATTTTCAGATGTCTCTAATACACTTCAGTATATACAACACACATGCGATTTTTGAAAAAATGCTCTTCAGAACAAAGATTTCCTTGTTCATCATCACTGTTTAGCATATAATCAATTCCTCTTCATAACATTCTTGCAAATTATAATAATAATACATATAATCAAAATCATACAAAATATCATGTAAACTATAAATATAAAGGAGCATTTGTAAAAAAATATATACAAATAGTAAATCTACATAAAATTTAAATAAATTTCATCTAATCAAAATATTATACTAGTAAAATCTAAAGGAAATAAGAAAAATTGAGATAAAAAAAAAGAGGGATATGGAGGAGATGAGAAAAACTTTTGTAGATGAAGATGAAGAAGCAAAATATGACAACTAAGAGACAAAAAAGATACAATATGTACACAAATCCCAAGAGAAAAATGAGAGAACTCGTTTAATTAAAATAATTCCTACCAGAAAGGCAAGAAAAGTGGGAACCAAGAAAAATACCCATATTCATAGGCATTTTTTGTGTACTGGAAAAATATATAAAAAAAATAAAATAAGAGAATGACATTTTTTTTTGTTTGTATATTTTTAAAATATACAAAAAATATGTTTACCTCCAAACATTTTGTGTGTATCTTTAAATATACAAAAAAGCTTAGATCCTTATTTTATTATTATTATTATTATTATTGTGTAATTTTGTATTGCTTGTTAGATGCCAGTAATGCTTATTCATGATGGTGTGGGTATATCTAAAACAATTTATTTTGATAAGCTGTTTTTTAAATTATTATTATTATTATTATTATTTAATTTATTATGGTCAAAAAGCCCCATCCAGCATTGGCAATTATGCTTAATCTTTATTTTATATTTTTAAATCAGAATTTTATTACAAAAGAGAAAGAGAAATGTCATGTCATAATACGTCAGTTATGACGGAAAGAAGACGCAAGTATAGTTTTGATGTTTTGTCTTTTACTCATTCATGTACCGCAATGTAACTAAGAATTAACCCCTAAAAAGATGAACAACAAAAAGAGTCAAATTCACATTCCGTTCCCATTTAATTTTCTTTGATGTGAACCGTGCGTCCTCGTTGTTCAATCGTTCGCGATTGAATTCTGAATCCTCTATCTTTCTCTCTCCTATCATGTATCTCTCAAGAAATTAGAACGGTTCTTCTCCATGTCACGGGAAATTAAAATGTTCAACTCGATATTTTAACAACGAAAGAAGATTCAAAATCCGTACTCTAAGGTTATTTTGTTTGGCCATTGGGAAATAATAAAATGAACATTGTATTTTGAATTATTTTCCAATGACAATAGGAGCAAGGAAGGCCAAGGGTACCCCATGCATTTGTCTTCTCTAACTTGTGCCAATAATATAGCTTCTGATTGGATTTCTTTTTTGTTGTTATTATTCAAGACAACATGACATAAGAGACCAATGAGAATGAAACAAATGGGTGAAGACAAGAACGTAGAACAAGTTGGTTCGATTTCTTATTTTTGGGTAATTATGGTACGAGTTTTGTAGATTCGTACCGTTTGGTGCGGAACTAAACTAATCCCAAAGGCCAAATGGCGTAGCTTTGGGAACCGTATCGTACCACATGCACCCAACCGTACCGAAACCCAAGTGGCGTAGTTTCGTTTCGTTCCGTTCAACGTTTCATTTCGCAACTATACATAAATAAAAATCATATCGCATCCGTACCTTATTCTCTCCGATAGTGACACTTGGATTCCTCCATTAACCATCACCCTACGTTCTCCATCTTGCTTTCCTTCAAGAAATAACAAGACAAAAAATAATTAAATAAATAAACAGTTAAAATAGTAAAAATAAACTTTCCCAAATATGCTATTAATTAACCCTTTCTTTATTTATAAACAGTTTAAATGGTAAAGATAAGCTTTTGCAAGTATGCTCTTTATCTTTTCTCTATTTAGTAGATAAGAGACGTTATAAAAATACATTACTGAAACTTATTTTGAACCACCTTTCACGAAACTTATTTTAATCTCCTTTCCAATTTTTCATCCTAGACTTTTTTTTTTTAAGTGCATGAATTGTCATCATTTTATTAGTTTTTGACCAGTTTATACTTTTTTTTTATACAAGAATCAAATATGATATTAAGAAATTTACAACATTCACATATTTTTATTTAATTAATTAAGCTGGACCACATTAGTATAATTTTTTATATTCAATTTATGAATTTTTTAGTAATTATATAACTGATTTTTTTTCACATTATTATATAATTAATGCGCGTACACAAGTTAGGTAAATAAAAATAGCTGTTAATTAAATCAATGTCATTAATTTATTGATTAATTGACATAAAGTTATTCTATCTTAATCAATTATTTTGAATTCATTTTTTTAATATATATATATAACTAACAAGAATTTTTTTTGTGACTTTTGTCACTATATGCAAATAAAATTATCTCATGCGAATGATATTTGCGATCTTAAAGAAATTAAATAAATATCAATAATTTATTTGGTCATCACATGAATTATAAAAATGATTTAAAATAAGAAACATATCACACATTAGTAGATGCGTTTATGAAGTACATGTAGGAATCTGTTATATTTAAAACGTAGGAAAACGGAAGTAATAAAAATATAATATCTAGTAAGAAACCAATATAAAACATAAAGTGATGCATTAACACTCTTGCACGTAACAATGAGCACATCTCTACCCTACACGGCTACCCTTCACCCCACCATAGGAACAAACCTCATCATAACCGTCTCTATTGGAGAAATCCACGGTCTCCATTTCCTGCGTATGTGATACGAAGTGTTTCACATTCGTATTGACCATTCTAAAATTGTGTAAAACGTATATTCTCAAAATAATGCAAGAGTTTCTGTTTCTCTCTCTTTCTCTCTTCGTGGAAAGTGGCATTAGGTGCAGCATTTTTCTGTCCTTGCCAGCATATTATAAGCTCATTTAAGTTCATATAGCAAAAACAAAAACACCCTTTGTAGCAGCCGATTTGATTTCTCCACTTCGGTGAAGACCTTGAGGTAACATTTTACTAACACCCTTTTTCTTCTGTGTATTTCGGGGATGCTTTTCCTTTTTCTTTTTTAGTTAATTTTTTTTCTTTATTTATTTTATACCATTTGCATTTCAGTGATGTAATTTATTTTGTTTTGTATCTGGGTCTTCTAAATATAATATTTGGTTTAAAAAAATCACGATTATTGTGTTGATTAGTGTAGTCAATGGGGACGTATAATGATGGCTGTTTCTGCATTATGAGCATAAACAAATAGTAAACAACAGCAACAGCAATAATAATAATTTTTAATTTATGGTTTCTGGTGATTTGAATTAAAGTGAATATTTTGTGAGATGGAGTAGTTTATTCTAGTATCTGTGTGGGATTTCCAGGCATTTACGGAAGGTGGGGTTTGACTTTGTTGGTAAAAGGTGTCAGCTGTGGAGGTTACGGAAGGTCAAGTTTTTGATTGATTGGAGTTTCTGTTACCTCTACAGCACTGCATGTTTCTTGGCTTTTAATTGAGATTTTCTTTGGGGGCTTCCATCGCCGAATGGAATTGGATCTTTCATCTCAGATCAACTCGTTCTTCCTGGGTTTTGAGTGGTTTGAGTGGTTTTCTCATTCCATGTGGGAAAAATTTGATTTTTCATGATTCAACTCAACCCCTCGATTGTTGTTGTTCATGGGTCTGAGGAAATCTAGTCCCTGTGACTCTAATTAGTCTGAGAAGCTTGTTTTGGGACCACCCCTTTTGGCTTTCAGACTTGTTCTCAGTTGTGGAAACAGTGATTTAGGTGTTTCTAGTTTTCTTCTGAAGATGGATGAAGATAGCAGCAGTTCTTGGTTAAGGAGGGCCAAGTTCTCCCACACAGTTTGTCACCGGTTGGATTATTCCAGTTCCAGATTAGGCTCTTTTAGCATTCAGCCAAGGACACAACAGAGTTCGGGTCTGAAATCAAGGCCAGAAGTAACTTTTGTTTCCAAGGCTTCTTCACAGGTTCAGAAAAAGCCTGTAATGAACAAGCAGAGATCTTTGTCTCCTTTGCCTCAGACCTCTCTCTCTGAAACCTTCAAGGAAGCCAGGCATGAGCAGAAGAGGTTCTCAACACCTGGTCCAAGGAGGAAAGAGCAGGATAAGAGAATCATGGGGAAGTTGCTGAACAAGGATTCTCATGCGTCCAATTCCAAGTCGCCTTACAATAGTCCAATTACTAAATCCCCTTACGCCAGTCCAATTACTAAATCCCCTTACACCAGTCCAATTAGGCACTTTGCATCAATGAAATTAAGTGACAAGTCGAAGCAGCGCAAGGATTCGGGATGGGCAAAGTATTTTGACCATGGTGGAGGAAAGGTTACTGCGGTGGAAACAGCTGAGGAATGGAATGTTGACCTCTCTAAGCTCTTTGTTGGTGTCAGGTTTGCTCATGGGGCTAACAGTAGGCTTTACCATGGCATGTATGAGGATGAATCTGTTGCTGTGAAGATTATCAGGGTACCAGATGATGATGAAAATGGAACTTTGGCTGATCGACTGGAGAAACAATTCATTAGAGAAGTCACGCTTTTATCTCGTCTCCACCATCAAAATGTTATAAAGGTAATATAATCTAATCCTTCAACTTCTTTTGTTTGTACTGTTTACAAACTTTTATTTGCTCCATGAGAAAATTAAAGAGTTTTTTACAAGCTTGTGGTGCTGTTGTTGTTTTCTGAAGAAAGAAACTTGTTTATTATTTAGTTACACCTTAATTATAAACACTTTAAAAAGGAGGATAAGGAGGGGAGAAAAAAATAGTACACTTATCATACTTTTAGTGAAGAACAGCACTGCATCGCTGCACGCACTTGCCGAACTTTATGTGTTTTGCCTTTGCCGTTATTCGGATACTATCTGTTTTTCTTGTTGAATACAAGGTGGGCATCCATTATTTGTGCTAATTACTAGACTTGACTCTCAGTGATGTTGAGATAATTACACGTAAAATTAAGAATACTGCATTATACATCCTTATTATAGTCTGATTAAGTAATTCATATCACGCTGAGAGAATTTCATGTGATTAGGAGGTTGGTACTTATACACTTTTTCTCATTTATCTTGATCTGATTACACAGTTCGTAGCAGCATGCAGAAAGCCACCTGTTTATTGTGTTATCACAGAATATCTATCAGAAGGTTCCTTGAGGGCATATTTGCACAAGTTAGAGGGAAAAACTATTCCTCTTCCAAAGCTTATTGCTTTTGCTCTGGATATTGCTCGTGGAATGGAATACATACACTCTCAAGGTGTCATTCATCGAGATCTTAAACCAGAAAATGTCCTTATTAATGAAGACTTTCACCTGAAAATTGCTGATTTTGGCATTGCTTGTGAGGAAGCATACTGTGACCTATTTGCGGATGACCCGGGTACCTACCGTTGGATGGCACCTGAGATGATCAAACGAAAATCCTATGGGAGAAAGGTTGATGTATATAGTTTTGGGCTTATCTTGTGGGAAATGGTGACTGGAACTATACCATATGAGGATATGACCCCCATCCAGGCTGCTTTTGCAGTAGTAAACAAGGTATGTTCCTTTGCAATTAAGTCATATGGACTGTAATGTGAATATCAAATCTATTAATATTTATAGCATCATTCATCATTGCAAGTAACGTTACTCTTTGTAAAGTTATGTCTTGCCTTTTGTGCACTCTGCATTGGAATTTTGTCAATAATAGGGAAAGGTCCGCATCGCATTTATCCACCCAAAACCACTTCTTCTGTGGTTTCATCTTTTGTTGTTGGTAGTTTCTTAGGACCTCTTTGTGTACTATTTGTTCAATTAACTAATATGTTTTGCAATTTTTGAATGTATTTTATGAAAGAGGCTGTCACTCATGTAACAGGCATTTTTGCATTGTTCCCCTCCTGGAAAATGTTGATACCTTCAAAGGTTAATGTTGTGAACGAAAGGACGTCTTTTCCTTTTTGCAAAGCTTCCTCCACTTTACTTATATCGCAACTTAAGTACTCTTTTCCATTTTCATCCATTTATTTAATTTTTTCTTGCTTTATTAAATTATTTTATTTCAATATGTTGAGTGATGATTAGCGAAGGAAGCATCATTCTCCTGACTGAGGACATCAATCATATTGCCACTGAGTAAATTGCTAACAAGTTTATAGCCTGTATGATGATTACCCTTAATTTTATAGCTAAACCAAATGTATTTTTTAGATGTAGCTAAAATCTATGGTACGTACCTCCTTTGCTTTGAAAACAACAGTGGAAGTAATAGAAATTATTTTCATCCATTCGTGATGTGTATGACCAACTTATTAAAAAAGAGGAAAAAAGAATTGATGTAACATACATTAGTTAATTTATATGAAGTTGTTACACACGTCTCTGTTTCATCAAGTGATGTTGCATTACCAATAAAGGAGCTTACTGAATTCTTAGGATCATCATGTGTAGGGTAATTGTGGGAAATATGTTGCTAGTGAAAACTATAATGACACTGTTTACCTATGTAATTCTAATACTTATGTGATGTTGTATTCAGAATTCAAGGCCAGTTATTCCTTCAGACTGTCCACCTGCAATGCGAGCTTTAATTGAGCAATGCTGGTCTTTGAATCCAGACAAGAGGCCTGAGTTTTGGCAGGTTGTTAAAGTATTAGAAGAATTTGAATCTTCGCTTGCTCAAGATGGAACTCTGACTCTGGTGCAAAACCCTTGTTGCCAAGATCATAAGAAAGGGCTTCTTCATTGGATTCAGAAGCTTGGTCCTGTGCATCAAAATAATGGCCCTGTGCCTAAACCCAAATTTACATGAATCTTCAAAGTGGCCTGGCTTTTTGTACTATACCGGGTTCAGTGTAATTAATATTGAATGGTTTGAAATACCCTAAAAGAAAAACCAAAGGTTTGTTTCTTGAGGTTCTCTTACTGTAGTCCTCCTTATGGTGTTCATGTGAGAGTAAATTGATTTGTAGGCTTGTACATTGAGGTGAAAACATATTTTATTTTAACTGTTGTGTATACCACCAGTTACAATTAAGTAATTGCACTAGGTTTAAGAGTTTTTTTTTTCTTATTGGGGGTGGAGTCACAATTTCTTGTTTATTCGTTATATAATGTACTTGGTATTTATTTAGTTTCTCAAATGGCAAACTTTTATATCTGTAGTTTTACATGTCATTTTCTTAACCGATACAACGAACATTGCGTCCTCGGCTAGTGAGTGTAGTTCATAATTGCTTATTTTGCTTTCTTCGTAAGTTCTACTTTACTCTTTAGCATCATAAAATTGAATTTAAAGTATAGGTCTTGCTAACCAGTACCCTAAGGATAATTATTGAGGAATTAATAAGTAGAAAGTTTTCATTGAAAATTAAAATAAAGCTATGCAGAAGGATGTGTAAATACATATTTCAATAAAAAAGTTTGTTTTTGATTCTTTAATTAGTGCACTATAAATACATATTTCAATGAAAAATTTGTTTTTGACTCTTTAATTAGTGCACTATAGGCATTCGTTATTATTTTCCTTAGTGTATATTTTAAGAAGGTCACCATTGACTCGTGAGAATGGTAGAATCGACTTAAGATATAATCTGATGGTCATCACTTGGCAGTAGACTTTATTATTCAACTTAATGATGTGAAATGGCACAACTCTGGCACTGTAGCAAGATTGAATTGCGAATATAAGATATGATGGTGGTTATAAAATCATATAAGATATTTGTTAAAAGTCGAGGGTATTAAAGTAACTGACAGGATTTATGTAGCTGATATGGATCAACACTTTTTGATGATTTCGTTTTCCCATTCAAATGTCACCTTATTCAGTAACTTAATGCACACTTGTACAGGTAGGTTTCATCATGCATGTGACATATAAAGCTCAGTGTTGTGGGCTTTTTCTTTCGGGGTTTATGCAATATACTGTCGTCGACCACTTGTGCCTTCAACTAACTACTTGTACAACATGTTATTCTGCCATTGAAAGCTTAAATATCTATCATAAACTTTATTATTTGGTCGCTGTTTGTTGAGCACTGTAAATGAGTCAGTCACATTCATGAAACTTTCCCCATAAATGACGTTGTAAGAGCAGTTTTATGTTTGTGTTGTTGAGTTATTATTGCTTTTTAGCACTTTTACATACACGAGTTATGTGTGTTCAATGAATCTGAAGGATTGCATGTGACTTGCTAAATTCTATTGGATCAGTTGGCTATGCTGAGACCTTGGATTTATGCCCTTCATCTAGAAAATGAGTAATATAATTAGTAGGTAAAGAAAGCCTACGCTTGTTTCTTTAGAAGGGTACGTAACAGCATGACTAAGCATGCTACTTGTAAATTTAAATTTAGTGTAGCTGATGTAATTTAGGATAAGTCAATTTCATGGCGTCACATTTGACTATTGTTTTGTTTTGTTTTGTCGAAATGCAATGTTTTTGTCTGACCTATGCCCTCGGTTAGTGGCCTTGAATATGCATTTTGCAAGCTTTATCACGTTATAAATTATTGAAACGTTGTTGTAGTAGGTCCCGTGATATACTCTCTTTTTGAAAGTTGATTCATTTCATTGGGCTTTTCTTGTTGCAATCAAGATGGGACTAAATAGCTTTTGGGCTCATTAGCAACAAGACACTATTCTAAGGGTTCTCATGATGATCGGTCTAGAAAAGGGTAGATGTAGATGCCACCCGGGCCCCAAAAATAATTATGTATACTACTCTAGTAGCTCCTATTCTTGCATTTAATAATAACTATGATATATCATATATCATTAAAGCAATGTAAAACAATAGTGTGTTGTTGGTATCAATAAAGCAATGTAAAGTTTAAGTACGTGGCATCGATATATGTGTGTTTTCTCTTGACCTTTATCTGTTAAGCATCACAACACAAGTGACAATTATTAAGGATGGAGATTTATTCATACAATTAATTAGTTAAACACATAATAGTTTTTTTTATTTATATTTAGCATTAATCAGAACGAGATATCTATGTAAAATCCTTTCTTATTCTTTGAGCTCTATAATTTTTGGCTATATCAATTTGGGGACTCTTCAATTTTCTTATTCTTTTCTCAATTTATAGTATGGTAAATAGAATACCGTTCATTTTGAGACATCTTTTTTGAATGTTGAAAGTTGAGGGAGTACTACTTTGACTTGAGGAACATGTCGATATTTGACTCTCTATTCCATTTCTTATTAGGATTGTTGAGTCAAGTAACGTTGGTTAGTTAATAACTCTCGACAACCATATCTCCAGTTTTTTTTTTTTTTTCCTCATGATTTCGATGCAGTGGCTTCCATCATAGTGTGCAAACATGGGACTTGTTAATTCAAAAGTTTATTAAAACCAACAATGGGCCTTTGGGGCTTCAACTTCGGCTTACCCTATCGGATTGTCTTCAAACCGACAAAGGGTAGTTTGTTTTGCTATTATTATTTTTATTTATAAACGGTAATAAGGTTTGGATTTGTGCATGTTATATCCTAGTCTTCACCACCAGGCCGACTAGTGATTAATACTTGTTTGCTATTTGTATATGTTTCTAATTATTTTCTTTTTAATCTTTGTAGCTTAGGTAATTACGGTGATACCACTTGTCTTATTTACAAGTAACACCATTATCTAGGTTGCACTTTACTCATGTGATTGATGCATAATACTATATAAATAAAAGTATTTTGTAATCTTTCATCTATCAATTAATGCAATGAGATAGTTTTATAAAAATCATCTTATTATTTGAGGTTCATGATTTTTCCCCTTATCAACTTAGGGTCACTTGCATATATTTTCTGTCAGGATTTCATAGGGTAATTTAAAAAAAAAAATCATTAAAAGACTCACACTAAAGATTTAAAATTTTAAGATTTTATCTTTGAAGTATACTTTTAATTTTTTTTAATAACCTTTGTTTGAATGAAAGACAACCTATATTTAATTATCAAAAAATAAAGTATGATGTCTCTTCTCAGTTCACACAAGTAACTCTAGAGTGAAATTTAATGTTACTCATAGAGAAGACTAGAGTAATTTTTTAATACGGTAAAAAATCTTAATTTTCATGTAATTAACAAAGTTAAGTTATGGCGTTCTTTTATATACTACTGTTTACCTTAATTTGCATCTTTTATATAGAGTAAGTTGTCCATATGTAATACAAGACATAAAAGTTCCATTCTTGTTAAGTCCACCTAATTAATTAGAAAAATTGATGATCGAATTTCAACCTTTCACAACCATAATTACTATAGAATAATTTATACCTTTATCCATATGCCTTTAATTGAACATGAGTCATAAGAGCGTCATTCTTGTTAAGTTAAATTATATGTTTTTCGATATCCAAGTAGACGTTCAAATACAAATAAACTAAATATTTCATATTGGCTCATTCTCACATGGTCACGCATATTTTATGCCTCATTCTATCAAGAGACCTAAGTCATAAGGAAAATAAGTTTGTACTTACTTCCTTATCATCAAAACAAGAAATCTATTCACAATGGCCTTACTAATGAGATTACCTTCAAGCATAAGGAAAAGAAATTTGTACTTACTTCTTTATCACCAAAACAAGTGGTAGAGGATCAAGTACAAATGAAGAAAAAAATGAAAAAGATAAAAAAAAAAGAAATAAAAAGAGAGGAAAATAAAAAAAAAATCGTCTAAGAGTAGTACTAAGGGAAAGGAAAAAGTAGGATACTTCCTACTTAGAGGTTATTCACATGGAAAGTATTTTTATCAACAAACAAGAAATTAATAGAAATCTCCTTGTTGAAAATCTCTTTTCCTTCTTCTCTGTAAAAATACTCTTGCAAGCACTACCACAACTCTTGAAAGTGACACTCTACCTAATAAGGTTAGAGAAATTTTGAAAGAATTTGATGATATATTCCCACAAGAAGGTCCAAAGGGATTACCACCTTTTAGGGGATAGAGCATCAAATAGATTTTGTTCTTGGAGATAGCCTGCCTAACAGGCCCACTTATAGGACAAATTCTCAAGAGACTAAAGAAATAGAGTCTCAAGTTCAAGAGTTGTTGGATAAAGGTTGGATTCAAAAGAGTCTTAGCCCTTGTGTAGTTCTAGTGTTGTTGATGCCCCAAAAGGATGGGAAATGGAGAATGTCTTGTGATTACAGGGCCATCAACAACACAACCATTAAGTATAGGCATCCTATTCCTAGATTAGATGACATGCTTGATGAGTTTCATAGTGCTACAATATTTTTCAAAGTTAATCTTAAAAGTGGTTATCATCAGATAATGATTAAAGAAGGTGATGAATGGAAAATCACTTTCAAGACCAAGTTTGGATTATATGAGTGGTTAGTTGTACCTTTTGAGCTTACTAATGCTCCTAGTACTTTTATGCGCCTCATAAATCATGTTGTTAAGGAGTATATAGGTAGGTTTATAGTTGTTTATTTTGATGATATCATAGTAAATAGTAGGAGCCTAAGTGATCACATAGGACACTTAAGGCAAGTCTTTTCTAGTCTTAATTAG